AGCCCTCACCACACACCCGGGGAAGCGGACAGAAAGCCATCAGCTGCACCTGGAGAATCCTGTGCTTATTGGCTTTACCCTAGCATTCCTTGCATATACTCTCTCAGTGGTTTGGGGTGGGGGCAGCACACGGGAGATGTGGCCACCAAGGTGCTGTGGCAGCTCTTGAGTTTTAAACTGACCAACTTCCTGCAGGCTCTGAGTTTCAAGAGGCTTTTCCAACGTGATGCTTGACATGGCCACATTTTCTCATGCCTGGTGGTGTCTGTGCTTAAAGATTGAGTCACACCCTGCAGAGTCATTTACCAGAGCTGAGAGTTATTCTGGTGTTGCCGGCCAAGGCCAAATGAGTTTACTTGTCGGGTCAGTGCAGAGTCAGGCCTAGATGTAGAGGTGTGATCCCAGCTTGTCCGCACACGTAGATGCAGAGAAGGCGCCCAGGCCACACAACCCAGGTGGGGATAAAGGGCAAGTGCTGTGGGCTGTAGGTGACAGTGACAACCCACTGCTTTTTGCTGTCGTTGTTCAGTTAAAATATTTTTAAAAAACACATACATGCTTGATTGGCTGATTAGCAGGTCCCAGGGGTCCTCCTGTCTCCATCTCTCCCAAACTGAGATTACAAGTGTGTGCTCCCATGCCTGGCTTTGCATGTGGGTGGTGGGGATTGAAGCCAAGTTCTGTGCTTACAGGGCAAGTGACTGTGCCATCTGACCTGCTTTATAAAATTAGTATGCACTAATGCATTGGGCAATGCATTCATTTGTGACATTTTACACACACTTGACATGCGCATGTCCTTATGCTGCCTGATTTAAAGGAACAACACCTAGCAGAGGGGTGTCTGGGATTCTTAGCTAGTCATGTGCTCACCAGCCCCTGCCCTCACACCTATTTGCTTCTACCAGATAATGAACTCTCTACACTGGACACTTAAGAGAAAGGCCCCTTAGTGTCCTGTTGCGGCCTCCACCCCGGGTTGGAGTAGTGTGGCATTTGAAGGGAGGCTGCAGAGGTGCCCACTTTGAGGATTCAGGGATTTTTTTTCTCGTTTTTCATTATTATTAATTATTATTATCATTGTGTGGGTATGTATACATGTGTGAGGGGCACACATATGCTACACCACATGTGTGGAGCTCAGAGGACAACTCATGGGAGTCAGTTCTCCACTGCCATCCTGTGGGTTCTGGGGGTTGAACTCAGATCATCAAGCTTGGCAGCACTTGGCCACACTCCCAAACTCTGGCCCTTCCTTGCACGCTGGTCCCAACCCCGAGGCTCCAGCCTCTCCCCTAGACATTACCTATACCCTGAGTCCCTCATCATTTCCTAAGACTCTCTTTTTCAAGACAGGATCTCATGTATCCTGTGCTGAGATAACAGTCATGTGCAGCCATGTCTGGCTTCTTTTCCTAAGTGGGAAAGTGAGACAGTGTCATCCCAAGGAAGTGTCTGAAGCAGCAAATTATCCTTCACAACCCCTGGACTCTGGCTGCACATGCATGAAGACAGGAATTCTTAGAAGCACAGAACCTGAGCAACGTGCGTATGTACACACACACACACACACACACACACACACACGCACGCACGCACACCCTACACACACACACACACGCACGCACGCACGCACGCACGCACACCCTACACTAAAAACCCTAGAATTTGGAACTGACTTTTAAGCATATGTTGGATCACTTACCCTCTTCTCTTTCTCCCTCCCTCTCCCTCAGTGCTGTGTCCTTACACAGCTCCAGAGGACTGGGCTCTCTTGTGGTAAAACTGCAGCCCTCTGGACGCTCATTGTGTTTATTGTATACAGTTGAACTGAGAGCCGAGGTTATTGAGAGCATAGGGCTGATGAGGAGCTGGGGAGTATGGTGGATGACTGGATCGAGGAGGGAGGGTTAGCTCGTCTTGATGGGAGGTCTCTCTAAGGGAGCAGTTTTTAGGCCATGAACATCTGTGGGGAGAAAGCTATGGCAACTATTTTCTGAACACACTGTCAGTGACCATGCATGGACCAGAGGAAGGCTTTGCACTCCCATAGGACTGACACCCCATTCCTTGACTTGACCATGCCCATGTCAATACACACATTCATTCAGGACTTCACTCTCAGGACTTCCTCAGCTCCCTACACCTTGGACAAAGAGTCAGAAGCCCTGCTGTGCTGTGACCTTGTAGCTACAAGATAAGTGTATAGTCCTACCCAGTACCTTGCTTCTAGGTACATAGACCAGGCTTGGCTACACCATATGATGCGGAACCTCCTCTCCAGGCCTGCAAGCCTGTGGAAGTCAGAGGGCTTTCCTTCAGGCCTCTATTATGCTATGCATGGCAGCGGTTTCTCTAATGGTCTCCCACTTTAAAGACCAGTCATGGTTATGGTTCCCTTCCTCTGTCTCCCCACGGTCACTAGGCATTCTCTCCTAATACTCATCCTGAAGGGTAATCCCATGTGTACTCCTCTCCTGAGCCTGAGGCATCTGACCTGAATTCTCTTACTACTGTTCCTTCTTTTCTGAGAAGTATGCCACCTCAGCTCCCCCAGGGGTCTCGTGCACTTTGGTTGCCCAACCAGAGCTGTTTTCTGGCATTGGTATCATGATCACCTTTTAAAACAAGTTCCACCCACCGCAGACTCTCATCCCACTTATCACAGTTACAGAGTCTCAAGCGCGTGCACACACACATACACACACACACACACACACACACACACACACACACACACACACACACACACGCCATGCTAAGCCAGCTCCTGATTAGCTATTACTCTGCACTCACATGGCGGCTTTTGTCTTCCCTATAACTGCATGCTTGTCTGCAGAGAAGCAGAGCGTGGTGGGTACAGGGGTCCTGCCCCTTCTGTGGTTGTGGTTGGAGGAGACTTGGAGCGAGGAGGCTGTCCCAACTGTTAACCAGAGCCTCTTAATTTCATAAACCTCTCCATCTTGGTTGAGTTGCGATGGTTCCAGTAACTACAGTAATTGGGCTTCTAGAAGTAAATTAACTTGTGTCTTTAGATCTTGCGGCCTGCCCCATGAACTCCCCAGTATGCAGTAATGGCCAACCAGGAGAGCTGGTTTTTGATCACCCTTCTCTGACTCACTACTCACCAGGCCCAAAGGGGAAACTTCAACTTTCTTCCCTGCCCTCCACTTTTGCCCTATATGACTGAAGGAAGGAAAGAAATGAACAGGAAGGAAAGGACGCAACTGCTCCTCGGTCTGGTGGAGGAGAAACTGTATTGCAGATGTGTGGGAGAGCATAGCCAGAGGCAGGGACACCCGGGAGAGTCCAGAGTGGGCATGGCCAGGCTGAGCTGGGCCATGTGGGGAGGGAGGAGGGGAAGGGAGGGGGGAGTGCAGGGGCACCAGGTGCAGCAGCCTGGTGGTCAGGAGGTACCAGAAGGACAGGTAACCAAAATGGCTGGATTATATAGGGAAGGACAGCCCAGCCCCTGGGCTTAGAGAGTTCAGGGTAGGGAGTGGGGTATACAATCCAGAAGGACCTGTAACAGGTAGAGGCTGAGGGATGCTGGAAGAACCTGGGGGCCAAGTCCACTTTGATGAGTTAAATGGGCACCTCAGCCATTTGTACCCGGTTTGAAACTTAAAAATTACAAACCCCCATTTGTAAGTAGACGGTGAGCTCTTTGATTCTTACAGATCCTTCTCTGGGTCCCCCTCCCCGCAACAAAGGCCTGTACTGTCTGAGTCTTTCATCCCTTGTCTGTCTGTCTGTCTGTCCTCACTGACCTGCCACCTGGGGCCCCCTGCTCCTCCTTCTCCCATTCCTGTCTCCAGCCCCTCAGCTCCTCCCCTGAGTGCTCTGGATGGGTCCTCTTCCCCTGAGCGCCTCATATCCAGCCCAGCTGACTTCACTTTGGCTGAATTTGAATTTCTTTCCTTTCTCCAAAATCTTCTTTTCTCACTGTCCTGCAGGTGGGCTCCCCAGAAACCGTGGTGCCCCCTGGAGAGTTTCTCCAGACGGAACCGCTGGTCTCCCCGAGTGGGGCAGTGGAGTGGCCTCTGAGCTGTCGGTGGGGGGACACATCTTCCTTTTCTCTTGGGAAGACTCTTTCTCACCACTCCTTATAGCCACTGCCGCACAGTTCTCTAACTCCGGGATACGTTTTGGCATGTTTCCTCAAAATCTTCCTACTATAGCAGAGCCTGGCTGAGGTGTCTGATGGCTGCCACTGGCCAGAGGGTCATTTTGCATGTACAAAAGGACCTTATGTTTGCTGGCCTTACATCAACACACCAGAATGTCATCTAAAGTCTGTCCTTCATTCAGGCCTCTCTCTCTCCCTGCCCCAGCCAGGATCTCTGCTCATCCTCCTCTGCCTCTCCGGTTCTCCTCCACAAAACCCTCCTGGCAGTCTCCCAGACCTGACCCCCTCCAAAAACTGCCGTCTCTCCTAAGGTATGCTGCTTTCCAAAGTCAGCTACTAAAATTTACTACAGAAAAGGGTTGTTTCCAAATCCCACTGGCAGAGGACAGCAGTGGCCTGGAGTGACCTTCTTAGCAAAGCCTGTCTCAACCAGACTCCGGGCTGGCTGTGATCAGCTCCTATAGTCTCTTTTGTGACCTCTGCCTCCTGCTCTGACAGCTTCCCTGCCAAACCTTCCTGATTCTTCTTTCTGCTTCCCACTCCTTCCCCTGGTGCCCAGCCCAAACCTGGAGCCACCATTCCCCTCCATACGGTTGTCTGGCTCAGAGCCTGACTCCAGCACTGTTGCTGGAAAGCTCACCTCCGCGCCCCCCCCCCCACTCCCCACCCTGTGTATATCCTGTGTAGGAAGTAAAAGTTTGCAAATTTCTCTCCTCTAAGTAAAGGCCTGTATTGTCTTTAGTCCCTTGTCCCTGGCCTGTCATTCCATCTCATTGACCTTCTTGTTAACATTCTGCGAAGGGCTTTTCCCAACTATTGAGTGTATGCTCTGCAAATTGTCACCTTTCTGCTTTTCTCTCTTTCCATCTAGGAGGCTTGTTTGAATACGTATCTGCAGCCAACTACTTCGGGGAGATCATGGAGTGGTGTGGCTTTGCGCTGGCCAGCTGGTCCCTCCAGGCCACAGTGTTTGCTCTGTTCACATTCAGCACATTGTTCACCAGGGCGAGGCAGCATCACCAGTAAGTTTTAAAAACGCATCTTTGCATCCTCAGTTTGCTCTCAGACGTCAGCATAGCCATTTCCAGGCTAGACTTTCATAATGCTAACATTAATTTGAGTTGCTAATCCCTCTGCTTCAAGGACAGAGCTGAAGGAGCAGGCCCTGCCGCTTTGGGGGTCCTCCCTTGTGCTGGCTGGTCGGTGTCTTCACCTGAAGAGGGAGTGACAGAAGTCGATCGGAGCCGGGGACTGTGCCTTTGTCACTGTTCTGTCACAACACTTAGGAAAGAAAGTATCTAACTGGGAACTGGCTTGCAGTTCCGGAGGCTTAGTCCATGATCATCCTGGTTGAGAGTACGGTGGCATGCAAGCAGTGGAGAGCCACATCCTGATCTGTAGCAGAGGGGGGAGGGGTGGCTGGACTTGGCATGGGCTCTGGAAACCTCAAAGCCCACCCCCACTTCCTCTAACAAGGTCACACACACCTCCCAATCCTTTCAAATACTGCTATTCCCTGGTGACTGAGCACTCAAGTATATGAGCCTATGGGACGAAATCATTCTTATTCAAAATAACCACCACAACCTGAAAACCCCCAGAGCTGCTGAGAAAGACAGAGAGGTATAAAGAAACAAGGGCAGGTACCCGGAACAAAGGTTTATAAAATAGACTTACATTATCAAGTGGCCGGAAAAAAACAGGGTAAAGAGGGAACTGCTCGCTGGGCGCATGCCTTTAATCCCAGCATTCTGGAGGCAGAGACAAGCAGATCTCTGTGAGTTTGAGGCCACCCTTGTCTACAGAGCGAGATCCAGGACAGGCACCAAAACTACACGGAGAAACCCTGTCTTGAAAAAACAAAAACAAAAAAAGGGGGAACTGCTCGTTGTCTATGGGATTTCCAGGTCCATTGACCTAGCTGCAGAGAGGAAAACTAACAACTTTGTCCTGTTGGGATGGGAGAAACCTAGGTTGGAAGCCTGTTAAATGGATTCTGGCTGAGTATTTTATAGGGCTTTCCCTTTCTCCTAGTGATAGGTCAGATACCTGCCCCCGCGCCTCACAGTGTGTTCTGGGGACAAGTTGTCGTGTTCACTTTCCTAATCTACTCACGTCCCTCTAACTCTCCTGCACTCCCCCATCTCGGAGATCCACACCTACTTCTGTCAGGGCAATGACTGCTGTAGCGGCTTCATGCTAAGAAGGGGCAGAGTCTACCCATGGTGCAGGTCTAGAAGAGGAAGAACTCTTATGAGGTGACTCCTGGGGCTGGTCCTTGTGGCTTTGATAAAATTCTGGCAGGCAGTGTGTCTTGGGCTCTTTCTGCAGAACCATCTCTAGAAGCAAAGGGCCAGGTGGAGTGGAGAGAAGACTGTTGGAGACCACTTTAGTATCACCCAGAGTAGGCCAGCAGTTACCCGAAATGTCCCCACATCCAAGGCCGGTCTTGAGAGTGATGAACCCCGGATCTACTTTCAAGCATGTTGGTAGCTATAGGAGTGGCTAGAACCACAGGGAGAGATGCCTCAGAGAGAGAGAAGAAATTTAACCACTGTTCGATTATTGGGTTAAAATAGCAGTGGACCTGTCTCTCTTGGCTTCAGTAGATGTTGAAATGTTGAATTGAGCCCAGTTGTCCAGGGAGTATGATGCCCTAAAACTCCAAAGAAAGCATGCCAGTCACAGCCATACCCCAAGCTGTCCCTTCCTGCTGGGTGTTTAGGATCAAACCTGTGACCAGAACCAGCCTCTTCTACCTTTTAGTATCAAGGCCACTTAAGGGTCTGGTTCTCGAGGATGACTTGGCTTCAGAAGAGCCTCTACCCCTTTTTCCTTTTATCGCTTATTCCATCTATATGAAGGTGAGTCGAAATCAAAGGCCCTCCTTCGCTGTGGCTTCACTCGGAAGCATGGAGGGGATGTCTCCTCTGGGTAGATCCTCCTCTTTGTAGACCAGACACTGGTTAGAGTTTACTGGGTGGGGTCTCCAGGTAACTCTCCACAGTTTCACGATGTTCTGGGAGATGCCTCATGGTCCCCCGGGACCCACTTGACCTTGGAGGATGAGGGGAGAAAAAGTCCCCTTCTAGTCTCAGCATGGTTGTTGAACACCCAGAAGATCAATATACCAGTTTGATATTGTGTAATATTAGATAAAACCAAATACTTCAATAAATTTTGATTTCTTGAGCCTGTCCTTGTAATTGTTATGAAGTGTGGACCCCATTGATTTGAGCGGAGGTTTGACGTCAGTGTGGTGAACTTTGACCTTTTGCATATCGTGCGGTCCTGGTAGGGTGACTATTGCTGTGATGAAACACCATGAAGGAACTCTTGGAACCAGTTTGCCTGCCTAAAGGGAGCTGGGGGCGAGGAGATGGAGAGATCCTGGGTCAGAGTCACCTCTTCACTGCTTGAGTTCCCTTGTCCACCTGAACGGCAATGTCCAGTCTGTGAGCAGGGAGCAGCTAGTTCCATCTAGTCCGTCCCCAGGAGAAGTCATCCGCAGGATTTCCACACCTCACCCACGGCTCAGTGCTCTGTCATCCCCCAGTTTCCTCCCTTAGTAAACCGCGCCAGCTCTTGAGCTGAGAGCCAAGAGCCACATTTGCCGCGTCTGTTCAGCAGCTGCCCCACTCCACTTCACCTAGGTTCACAAAGCCAGACAGAGCCAGGTTCAGAAGGAGGCAGAGAGATGCCCACTCATTAGCCCATTCACCTACTAGATGCGCTAGGGAACCAAGATTTAGCTGCCTCATTTTGGGACCCATCCACCGACCAACTCAGAAACAATTCTTGTCATCTTAATTCCAAGAGGGAAGAACCAGGGCGCAGTTACAACCAGATCACAGCAAAACAAAAGCCCAACAGTATAAATAGCTCATTACCCAGTATCTGGGATTCACTCACACTCTCCTGGGCTCTAAAGGGCTCAGACGGCTCTGCCTCACTGACTCTGCTCTCCACAACACACATCGTTCATCCCATTGACTGAGGCCAGCTTTGCTGTACAGCTGCTGCTGTCCTTGGTGGTCACCTACAGCCCTGAGGCTTCCTGCAGCCTTATGCCACCAACAGCAGTACCCTGTGGGAGACTTCCACACTACCAGTGTCAGCAACCAGCATGACTTTCAGCTTTGGCCTCCGTGGGACTGTCGCTTCTGTGTTTGGACACACTCACAGAAGAGTCACCGCAGTGACACTGGTCTCTTATTAACCACAGGTCACTTGGATTCTGTGCCATTGGAACCCAAATACCTACTGTCCTTACTCCCAGTGGAGGTGGGGGCTCACCTGGGTTTCCACCACACTAGTCATGGTTGGGGTGGCCCCTTGCTTAAAGGGCACCCTTGGAATACCCAGTGGGTCGCAGTCACTTCTGATGCTTCTCAATTTTCAGTCAGGTAGACAACTGTCTTCTGAAATCCTGGACAGGAGACCCCAAGATACGGGGGTGACAGGTGTCTGGGGAATTGCTGCATTCATTCCCTGGCATGAATAAAGAATTGAACTGGGAAAGACAGAAAACCACACCATGGAGATTTACATTCAGGATGGGAGAAGTCTAAGGCTGGAAGTCTAATAAATGGACACTGGCTTGGTAGTTTGGGCATTTTATAGGGTTGCTGGGTCTCCCCGCTTCCTCTGTGGGTCCTCTCTAGATCCCTGTCCCCACTTCAGGAAGCTGACTTTCACATCCCTGGTCTGCTCGTGACCCACTAACTCTCCTTTAGTGAGAAACAGGGTAACTATGGTGACTGAACTCTACTGGAGGGCAGAAAGTTCTGATCCCAGTCCCTGTGCGCAGTCACAGGTGTGACTGCATGAGACAAGGTTGTGCTGGAACTAGGTATGCCAAAGCCACTAGAGTGGGGATGCTTATCACAGGTGCACACCCAGAGGAGAACATCACACGGAGTTAGAGACAGAGAGGTCGGACAGCTGGGGCCGCCAGGAGCTGGTGGGTGAAGTCCTTCAGCGGGAGCGTGTCTGTCACAACTACGGTTCAGGCTTGCCAGGGAGGATCTCATGCTGCTGAGTTCTGCTGCTTTGTCAACACCTACGTGACACATCCGACTGACACATTTTACATTGACTGAGCCTTCAGGAAGTAAAGGCAGTTGAGTTTGACCTTTGGAGACCCCAGAGTTCTCTGATAGGTGACCTGGAATAAGACTGCGTGGGAACAATACCCACTGGACACTAAGTATGCATGAGCAGGTTTTACAGCACACTGGGAGCCAAGCTGCACGGCCGCGCAGGCGCTGGACCTGGCCTCCCCGAGTCCTGTTGCTCTTGGTACCCTTACTCGGTTTTCAGCCCCAGGCTCCCTGTGCAGAGGGACCATGGCCTATTATGGGTGTCATGTCATCCAGGCATGTTGCCATTCTTTACATCTGCAATGTCTGATAGGAAAACTGAATGGTGGCTTGTCTCTAACTAGACACATGAGCATTCATACTTTTGAACACTGGATCGGGGGAGACTGAGCAAGACGTGGTTGAGTCCATTGTGGAGCATTTTTCTCTAACAAAGCAGGGACCAAGAAAGTCCCTTTCAACATTTGATTACGAAACATCCATAAATGGGAAATAAATAATTCAGTTTTCCAAAAGAAAGCCTTGCTAGTGAAAATCCCAAGGCATTCTTTGTGTTGCCAGGGAAAATCAGGGTCCCTTCATTGGGTTCTTAGTCTCATCAATAAGACATTTAAAAGTGGCATCAGGAGGAGGCTGGAAGACAACTTCACTAGGACTCGAGAGAAAACAACAGGGTAGGAAAGCTGTGCGTCTTGGCGCTGCTTGGGGGGCAAGGAGGATACAGAGGAGAGGAAGAGAGACCGGCAGTGGGAGTCAGCAGCCATGCGGGCAGCTTCCAGGACAGCAGGCAGCTGCACTAGGAAAGGAGGGCAGCATCAGAGAAAGAGCGAGAACGTGCAAGGTGCCCCTGACAACAGGCTTAGGCTTCGACCAGTAATGAAAAGAAAGAAAAGAGGAAGAAGGAAGTTACACCTTTGAACTCTGAAGAGTGGGCACACTTAGAGCTGCGCAGTGGTAGCATAAGCAGCCGCACCGAGGACGGAGGTTCTCCGAGGGAAAAGTAGATTGTCTCATTAAGGGTTCATTATCCCTCCTGTCTCGTTAACTTCCTGAGGGTCCCTTGGCCAAGTGACTAACAGGCCCAGCTGGATGAACTTTTAATGAAGGAGTCAATAGTATGAGCTGTTCTACTCATTGGAGTGGATCAGAATGTAAGGCTCCACCCAAGGCCAGCCATAGATTCCATTCCTTTGACTGGGAGCGTATCCCTTTCTTAATAGGCCTCAACAGAGCCCTGATAACCTCAGTGGCATCTAAAGCCACCATGACATTTCCCCCCCCTTAAAAATAAGGAGCGAAAAACCAAAAAAAAAAAAAAAAAAAAAATAAGGAGCTTAAAATCGCTTAGAAAATGGGCCAAAGGTGGTGGATGCATACAAGCGTGTCCACCGGGAGAGAATCAGCATCCCAGCCGGAGTTTCTGTCCCATGCACCTCAGTTGATTCCAGGCTGGGCACTCCTCTAAGAGGAGCGCAGAAACCAGAGCGCCCCCTTCTGGCCTGAGAACCGAAGACGGTTCCTGTCTCAGGCCTTCATCATTTGCAGAGGGATTTCTGAGCTGAAAGTACTTTTGGATGTCGGTGGGGGATGATTCTAAATCCTAAAGAGTAATTCCGTTCTGTGAAGGCGTTTTCAGAAATCACTGGCCTTACAAGCTGAGGACTGTTATCCCTTTTTGTTATCTTGTTATGTTACCTTGGCTGCTCTGGAATTAAACATCTCGTTGCATCCGCCTCTCAAGTAGCCAAGAGTACAAGCATGTAATAATAGGGCTAGCTTATTTATTTTTTAAATAGCCCAGTAAACCCAACAACTAAACTGTCAGATTGATCACTCAGAAGAAAGCACTTCCAAGATCAGTTCCCAGCTTTGTCTTCATGGCAGTTTATCAAAATAGTATTGTCTGCCAGTGAAATGGTAATAACAGCGCGGGAATTTCAGTTTCTAAATGCTCGTATTGATGGTCAAGCCCCAGGCCATTAGCTGTTGCAGCTTGCTAATAAGTGTACCCTTTTGAGAGTAAAAACTTAAAGAAATTTAAGGGAGATTGCCTTCTCCAGGAGCCTGAGCACCCACACGTACTTAGCAAAGCACTGAGTGCATGAAAGATCACACCTGTCCACGAAGTACCAGACTAGATACAGACATGTGCTTGTTCGTGCAAAACACTCGAGCCCGAAGATCAGCCACAGAGGAAACTTACTGAAATTTGAGAGAGATATTAAAATATTGTAATGTGTAATCTATTTATTAAGTTCCATGTCCCACCCCAGTGTGTCCTTGGGACATAGTGATGGAATTTTTACAGTAGTGATTTAGTAAAAGGAAGACAAGAAAGAGTGTGTTTGTGGAATGCTGGCTATTCCCACTGCCTCCCCAGCAAGAGGCTCAAAAACGTGATCTGTGGAGTCTTGGCCAGTTGCTCAGCCCTTCAGGACATGAAGATAAGTCCATGACGAGGACCTCCTGCAGAGAAGCTGAGACCTTAGGTAGTGTTTGGAAGTCGTACAAACAATAGCTGGAAAGCAGATTGACAACTGACTGCCATAAACTGTGCCTGAGGGGGTGAGCAATTAACCTTCCTGCAGAGGTGTGTTGGGTCATGAGCTCAGTCAGCAATGATAAGACCACTGGGAAGTAGGAGTCAGGTCTGATCTCGGTATCACTGCATCAGTTCTAGGGATGGGAAACAAGGGGAAAAAAAGACTTTTTAAAACTATCTATACATATATGCAGACGTATAAATCTTATAATAGGACTTTTTGAGGTGGATTTGTGATTTCGGTATTGTTATCAGAAAGTCTTCTCTAATCATTTAACCAGCATAAGTCCTGCCTGTGTAACAGGTTTTCAAACCATTACACAAATATCACCTTTACATCAGAGGCCTTCAACTTCACAGTGGCCGGGCTTGTACAGTGCCCCCAGCAGTGTGCCAGATCACACAGCCAGGGTGCACTCTCATCTCTGCCGACCGGTGCTTTCCTGGTTGCTCGGCCTTTGCCCTCCTGAGACCACTGTCATCTTTGGCAGGCAGAAGAATCAATCTCTTTATCAATGTGGGGCGTCCTGCACAGGTATCCCCAGGGCCTCTTAGGAAGGAGCTGTGCTGAGCGTCAGAGCCCCCAGCAGGCTTGCCTCCATGGTCACATTGTGAAGTGGGTACCCTTTTTCCACTGGGGACTGTTCACAACCTGTGGGAAAGGCCCCTGTCACTGGGTCTCACGCCAGAGAGGTGGCAGGGGATACAGAGGCCCTGGCAAGCTTCTCACCATCTCTCCTATTGCATAGACAGCATGTGACAGTGACTGTGGCAGAGAGCCCCACAGGTTATCATTTCTGTTAGTAGACGACAGTTAGACTCACCCAAATACAGCAGTACACCACCGCCTCCCTCTCTGTCCATTGTCTTATCTTTCTGCTACACTAGCAAATAATTGTTTTCCTTCGTCATCAGTAATCTGCTTTTTGTACCATTTTTTTTTTTTTACTGACTATTTCTAAATCCTATAAAGGAAAAAAAAAAAGATTTTTTGGAGATGAGGTCTCATGCACAGTTGCTCAAGCTGGCCACCCTCCAACCCAGCCTCTCAAGTGGCTGGAGCTACAGGCACGCAGCACAACCGACTCCTTCGTTTCCGTCCTCACTCAGCCTGTTGAGCCGTCGGCCTCCCCAGCTGGCTGCCTGCCTGGGTCGGTGCACTGGAGATTCGAGTGAAGAGCTGAATTGTGGACGTTACCAATTGTATTTTTAGGACATGTCAGCACCCTTTCCAAAAGGGAAGATGAATTACCCAGGTCACTTCTGAGATAGCACTTCAGATATGTGAAATTATTCATAAATGACAAAGTCCTTAGTGCTAAAATAATAATAATAATAATAATAATAATAATAATAATAATAATAATAAATGAACAAACAACAACAACAACAAAAAAAGCTTAGGGCTGACAAGGCAAGGCTCAGGCGTTTGCCACAAACCTGAGGATCTGAGTTCAATCCCTCGTACCTACATGGTAGAAAGAGAGAACCAGTTCCCAGAGAGTCGTCTTCTGACTACCGTGTGTGTGTGTGTGTGTGTGTGTGTGTGTGTGTGTGTGTGTGCGCACAAATTTACTAAATGTTAAAAAAAAAAAACCTAGGTATTTCTTGCATAATCAATTTCGTTGCCATCTTCAAAGATGCTTAAATGACAAACTGGATTGGTTTTTAAACCCCTTTTTTTTCTCATTTTAGGTGGTACCATGAGAAGTTTGAAGATTACCCCAAATCGAGAAAAATGCTAATTCCCTTTGTGCTTTAGTGTGCTGCCAGTGGCATCATCTTTGAAGAGCTCCTTCCTGGTGACACCTCTCAGGCACTTATACATGAAGCGTTTTCCCTAATTCTCCTGCAACTCCATTGTTTTCAAGAAGGGCTGGCGGGGTTTTTATCCCCTGGTAAAGGAGTAAGCCAATCATGAACTAATCCACTGTGTGCTGTTAGGAATGGGGAGCATTGGGGCATTGCAGCTCAGCTGTCTTTGGCTTCAAACGTGCCTCTTTGGGGTTTTGGTTTTGTTTGTGTGTTTAGATATTTTGTTTTGTTTTTGTTTTTGTTTTGTTTTGTTTTGTTTGCTTTTTTCCAGACAGGGTTTCACTGTGTAGCCCTGGCTGTTCTAGAACTTGCTCTGTAAACAAGGCTGGCCTCCAACTCACAGAGATGCACCTGAGTGCTGGGATTAAAGGCTTGCACCCCCACCACCCATTGTGTGTATGTTTTTGAGACAAGGTCTCACAGTGTAGACCAGGCTAGTCCTGAACTCAGAGAGTTATGTGAGGTCTCTAGCATAAAGGTGTGTTTGCCTCCAGCTCTCCATTGCCACCAAACCTGGCATTGCCTCGGGGTTCTCTGTGGCAAAAGTGTAAGAAGAAACTGCTGATTCCCACCACCTCTGACAACCAACCCTGCAATGAATGCACCCAGACCAGCAGGAGTCTCCCGCCTCCTCCATGGATGGATGTTCTGCCTGTTCAGCCCCTGCTAGAGAGGCCTGGAGGTATGGGAAAGGTCACAGCCTGCTGTCCTTCACTGAGCTGCTGTCTAGTAGGGAACTTGAGCTCCTCCATCCGGCAGCTGGGAAAAGGTGTCTTTTACTTGTTCCCACTCAGCTCTCCAGGTGAAATACTCCTATAAACACACGGTATCCCCAGGAGAGGTGGGACTGTAGAGTATCCACTCACTCACTGGCCCTCCCTTTGCCCTCCCTTTGGGCTAGGCAGAACTAGAATTCTTTAAGGCACTTTTTAAAAAATACCTTTTTTTATTATTATAAAACAAAAATCTCAAAAGCATTTCTTATTTTGAACGCACCGTAGGACCAATCATGGCACATGCCTGAAATCCCAGCACTAGGGAGGCCAAAGTGGAAAGATGGAAAGCTCAGGGCTAGCCTGGACTGTGTAGGGAGACCCTATTTGGGAAAACAAAACAAAACCTAAATAAAAAACCTGTACTAATCAGCTAACACTCCAAAGAAGTGGCTGCAGAAATAAAAGACACCGCCCACCCAAGCACCATCGTGGAAGAGAGGTCTCCACACAGGACACAGACTCCACTGTGGCTCTTTGCACTCTGAGGGTCACTGGTGAAGAACCATCCCCACTGGGACCAGCACTGCCCCGGGCAATGCACTCACGTTTGCCCATTGTCGTCAGGGGAAGTGAGGGGACAGTGTGCTCTGTGATCCCACTAAAGGTACTGCGTTAGGACCTCCTAGCACGCCTGATGGCACTCACAGTGCCCGCCGCCCGCCACCCGCCTTTCCTGTGTGTACCACCTACTTTCCTTGCCCCCACCTCCTGCCTGCCTTCCCCAGTGTCTGTCCAAGCTGGCCTTCCCAGCAGGCCTTCCTCAGCTCTTTTGTTCTCTTATACAAAGTATTCTCTGTGCATCTCCTTTGCAGAATGTCAAGAATTGACACAGAAAACCTAAAGCACCGAACATTGTTCCTCTGCTCTCAAAACCTCAGAAGTGAGGCCCGCCTGGGGTGTTCTGGAAGGAGGTACTCAGCTGAGATCCTGGGGATGTTTGCTGTGAACTTGACCTCCATTGGAGGGCATGATGCTAGAATGGAACCCAAGACTCTGGGCTGCTAGGCAGATGCCTGTCACTGAGCCACATATTATCCCTGTGATGCATCTTTGTTTATAAAGGACCAAGCTGCCCACAGGCTTGATGCTTGTTCCACCTACATGCTGAGTGAGAGATTAATTTAGAAGAAACCCTGTCCTAACGTTACACTCTCCTTCATTTCTTAAAACTTTACTTACTTGTGTGAACTGTGATTTGTAGCCAGAAGGTTTCTCCAGTCCTGTCCGGCCCCCGTGGTCCCTTGGCTGCTTATAAAATAATCATTCAGAGGTTTAATATTTATTACCAATTGTATGGCCTATGGAATGCTTCTTGCTAGCTAGCTGTTATAACTTAACCCATTTTTCTTAATCTATAAATTGCCACATGGCCATGGCATTACTGGTCTGCTGGCATCTTGCTGTTCCTTAGGTGGTGGCTGGCGTCTCTCTCTCTCCTCTCCTTTCTTCTCTCTGTACACCTGCTTAGATTTCCTGCCTGCCTCTAAGCTGCCTTGCCATAGGCCAATGCAGCTTTATTTGTCAACCGGTCAGAGCAACACATACTCACAGCACACAGAAAGACATCCCACAGCAGCAATTTTTAAGGAAATTAATAAAACTGTAGTTTTCAGTCCAGTTGCATTGTTTGTCTTGGCGGTTGGTTGGGACCATCACCTGTTTTGCATTCAGCGCTGCAAGGTCACCTCTTTCCCAGTGTTGGGTGGTCCTTTAATACCCTCGGTGAAGTTGCATAGGTCATAGGACCCTCTTACGGTTTTAATGAAGGTTATTTTAAGTATTCACATGAAGATCTGCCCCAGTCTGTTTCTAACTGGGATGAAATGAAGCTATGGATGTTTGTGGCTTCACCATGTCAAGCTATGCTGCTAAATTATCTCATGAAGTCCCGCTTTTCCCGTTGCCATCCTCATGATTTCCAGTTTGGCAGCATTCAAAGGCCTTGATTTCTTGTCATTGGCTGCTCATGTCAGCGAGACATTGAAGATTCTCTGGATTCCCATGTTATCTGGGCACAAATGGCTTTTGAGTATTCTTTTATTTCCTTCTGCGATTTTTGGTCTTTTCTGCCTTAGCCCACAGGCTATTTCCTTTCCCCATGTTAAACATCATTTACTTCGTGGGCCGGCAAGATGGTTCAATGAGCAAAAGCATTTGCTGCACAGACCTGGCTACCCAAGTTCAGTACCATGTAGAGATGAAAGAGAAGAATTTGCTCCAACTCTATCCTCTGGCACACCTTGCCCCCCAGTAATAAATTGAAAATTTGCTTATTTTGAGACTTTTCAGATGTACTTCATACAGAAAAGAAATGAGAAAGATTTTTACAGCAGGTGTAGAGAATATGGGTGATTAGAACACATTGCACTGATGCTCTAAATTATCTTGTTTAAAAAAAGAGTGTATGGGTGTTTTGCCTGCATGTGTATCTACAGCTCACGTATATGTAGTACCCACAGAGGATAGAGGGCATCAGATCCCCTAGGACAGGAGTTAGAGATGTTATGAGCCACCATGCGGGCCTATCAAACCCTGGTGCTTGGAGGAGCAGCCGGTGCTCTCAACCACTGAGCCATCACTCCTGCTCCAATGTTTATCTTTCTTACTCTGATCTAAGCTAATTTTGAGTTTGACTTTACCTTGCTTTTCTGACTTTGGGTGGGTATTTTGTTCCACTCACAGCTGCTTGGGAACAAGATCAGCACTGGTTTACTTCCTTAGCTAGCTCGTGTTAAGGATTTGAAGCTGCGTGTAGCCTATAAACAAGACCCTCTTTCCTTCATTGGAGCAATGTTCCTGTGGGGCAGGAAAGTTGGGTCAGCAGAGGACCCCAGTTCAATCCCCGGCACCCATATCAGGCAGCTCATGACCACCTATAACTCCAGCTCCAGGGGATCCAGTGCTATCTTCCATCCTCCATAGACACCTGTGCATGCATGTACATGTGCATGTGCACGCACACACTTAACATAGAAATCTTTACAAACAAATGTTTATATAATTACACTAAATAATCTCAAATTTTACTTTTAGATTATTTCTGATCCAGAGACTTTTTAGGATAATATGTTTAGAAGGATACTTTTTACTTTTCATCAATTTGGAGTGTGTTATTTTATTTTGTTTTGAGACAAAATTGTACTATGTATCCCAAGCTTCCCTCAAACTCCATCCTCCTGCCTCCAGCCTCCCAACTGTTGAAATTATAGTCATATGCCCCCATGCCCCGCTCATTTAGATTTTCACACAAAAGGATTTTTTATCCTTTATTGCATGTGTGGATAGAGATTATTTTCTTCAAATTTTCCTTGTAGATCTTGGGTTTTCTTGATAACCTGAAGTTTACTTTTTATAACAATAACAAGACCACACCTTAAAGTGTATCCTATTTGCCTCTTTTACTATTGTTAATTCAAACATTACTTTTTCTTTGTAACTGATTATCTCCCATGTTTTAATTCTCCTTGTATTTCTGATGATAGTCTTTCTTCTTATGAGGCTGTGTCTTTGTAAACCCCACTTGAGTCTGTACCTCTTTCCAACTTAAAAATCCTCCTCCAGTGAACTGCCTCCTGACTTAAAGTCTGCTTTGGTAAGACCGTGACCACACTGTTTTCTTGGAAGACACACACATCTTATATTCATTGGCCATTTTTTTACTTGCCTTTGAGTTTTTAAATGGTCCTCATTTTAGTCTTCTTTAACAAGTAGATTTTACAAATAACAAATTAGTTCACATTCTCTTACTAATCACCACACTGAAATATTTCCCTAATCACTTTCTCTTAAGACTTTTAAAGACTTATTAGCATTTTATGTGTATGGGTGTTTTGTACAAATGTATGTCTCTGTACTGTGTGTGAGCAGAGCCCTGTGTGTGTGTGTGTGTGTGTGTGTGTGTGTGTGTGTGTGTACTGTGTGTGAGCAGAGCCCTGTGTGTGTGTACTGTGTGTGAGCAGAGCTCTGTGTGTGTGTACTGTGTGTGAGCAGAGCCCTGTGTGTGTGTACTGTGTGTGAGCAGAGCCCTGTGTGTGTGTGTACTGTGTGTGAGCAGAGCCCTGTGTGTGTGTACTTTGTGTGAGCAGAGCCCTGTGTGTGTGTACTGTGTGTGAGCAGAGCTCTGTGTGTGTGTACTGTGTGTGAGCAGAGCCCTGTGTGTGTGTGTTTACTGTGTGTGAGCAGAGCCCTGTGTGTGTGTGTACTGTGTGTGAGCAGAGCCCTGTGTGTGTGTGTGTACTGTGTGTGAGCAGAGCCCTGTGTGTGTGTGTTTACTGTGTGTGAGCAGAGCACTGTGTGTGTGTGTGTACTGTGTGTGAGCAGAGCCCTGTGTGTGTGTGTGTACTGTGTATGAGCAGAGCCCTGTGTGTGTGTACTGTGTGTGAGCAGAGCCCTGTGTGTGTGTACTGTGTGTGAGCAGAGCCCTGTGTGTGTGTACTGTGTGTGAGCAGAGCCCTGTGTGTGTGTACTGTGTGTGAGCAGAGCCCTGTGTGTGTGTACTGTGTGTGAGCAGAGCCCTGTGTGTGTGTACTGTGTGTGAGCAGAGCCCTGTGTGTGTGTACTGTGTGTGAGCAGAGCCCTGTGTGTGTGTGTGTACTGTGTGTGAGCAGAGCCCTGTGTGTGTGTGTACTGTGTGTGAGCAGAGCTCTGTGTGTGTGTACTGTGTGTGAGCAGAGCGCTGTGTGTGTGTACTGTGTGTGAGCAGAGCCGTGTGTGTGTGTGTGCACTTTGTGTGAGCAGAGCCGTGTGTGTGTGCACTTTGTGTGAGCATAGCCCTGTGTGTGTGTACTGTGTGTGAGCAGAGCCCTGTGTGTGTGTACTGTGTGTGAGCAGAGCCCTGTGTGTGTGTGTACTGTGTGTGAGCAGAGTCCTGTGTGTGTGTACTGTGTGTGAGCAGAGCCCTGTGTGTGTGTGTACTGTGTGTGAGCAGAGCCCTGTGTGTGTGTACTGTGTGTGAGCAGAGCCCTGTGTGTGTGTACTGTGTGTGAGCAGAGCCCTGTGTGTGTGTACTGTGTGTGAGCAGAGCCATGTGTGTGTGTACTGTGTGTGAGCAGAGCCCTGTGTGTGTGTACTGTGTGTGAGCAGAGCCATGTGTGTGTGTACTGTGTGTGAGCAGAGCCCTGTGTGTGTGTGTGTACTGTGTGTGAGCAGAGCCCTGTGTGTGTGTGTTTACTGTGTGTGAGCAGAACACTGTGTGTGTGTGTTTACTGTGTGTGAGCAGAGCCCTGTGTGTGTGTACTGTGTGTGAGCAGAGCCCTGTGTGTGTGTGTACTGTGTGTGAGCAGAGCCCTGTGTGTGTGTACTGTGTGTGAGCAGAGCCCTGTGTGTGTGTACTGTGTGTGAGCAGAGCCCTGTGTGTGTGTGTACTGTGTGTGAGCAGAGCCCTGTGTGTGTGTACTGTGTGTGAGCAGAGCTCTGTGTGTGTGTACTGTGTGTGAGCAGAGCCCTGTGTGTGTGTACTGTGTGTGAGCAGAGCCCTGTGTGTGTGTGTGTGCACTTTGTGTGAGCAGAGCCGTGTGTGTGTGCACTTTGTGTGAGCAGAGCCCTGTGTGTGTGTACTGTGTGTGAGCAGAGCCCTGTGTGTGTGTACTGTGTGTGAGCAGAGCCCTGTGTGTGTGTACTGTGTGTGAGCAGAGCCCTGTGTGTGTGTACTGTGTGTGAGCAGAGCCCTGTGTGTGTGTACTGTGTGTGAGCAGAGCCCTGTGTGTGTGTACTGTGTGTGAGCAGAGCCCTGTGTGTGTGTACTGTGTGTGAGCAGAGCTCTGTGTGTGTGTACTGTGTGTGAGCAGAGCGCTGTGTGTGTGTACTGTGTGTGAGCAGAGCCGTGTGTGTGTGTGTGTGCACTTTGTGTGAGCAGAGCCGTGTGTGTGTGCACTTTGTGTGAGCAGAGCCCTGTGTGTGTGTACTGTGTGTGAGCAGAGCCCTGTGTGTGTGTACTGTGTGTGAGCAGAGCCCTGTGTGTGTGTACTGTGTGTGAGCAGAGCCCTGTGTGTGTGTACTGTGTGTGAGCAGAGCCCTGTGTGTGTGTACTGTGTGTGAGCAGAGCCCTGTGTGTGTGTACTGTGTGTGAGCAGAGCCCTGTGTGTGTGTGTACTGTGTGTGAGCAGAGCCCTGTGTGTGTGTACTGTGTGTGAGCAGAGCTCTGTGTGTGTGTACTGTGTGTGAGCAGAGCCCTGTGTGTGTGTACTGTGTGTGAGCAGAGCCCTGTGTGTGTGTACTGTGTGTGAGCAGAGCCCTGTGTGTGTGTGTGTACTGTGTGTGAGCAGAGCCCTGTGTGTGTGTGTACTGTGTGTGAGCAGAGCCCTGTGTGTGTGTACTGTGTGTGAGCAGAGCCCTGTGTGTGTGTACTGTGTGTGAGCAGAGCCCAAGAAGGCCAGAAATGGGGTTAGTCCCTGGAACTGGAGTTCCAGATGGTTGTGAGCTGCCATGTACATGCTGTGGATCAGACCCGGGTCCTCTGGAAGAGGAGTTTGTGTTCTTAACTGCTGAACCATCCCTCCAGCCCTCTTTTAAAAATTATTTTTACAAATCCTTTCTCTTGCTATCTATAATGATTTGGAAAAGAGACTTCCTTAAAAAAAAATACTGGGGCTGGAGAGATGGCTCAGAGGTTAAGAGCA